TTACCTGGGCACAGGATGTACTTCTGATTAACCATTATATAAAAGAAACCTCAAAATCCCAGTGGAGGGAGCCTTGATATTTCTCCCGTGGCCAGGCTGCATTGAAAACATTTGCCAGTCCCTGGAAAACCATCCATCTGTCCAGTCAGGTCAAAGGCAAGCACATGTAAGTGAGGAATTCTAGGCTCAGAGATGTGTAGGGTCGGGCAAGAACCTGAAGGCAGGCGCAGGAAAGGCTGTGGTGAATGAACTTCAGGAAAGACATAAAAGTTTGGAGATAATGTCCAAGTAGGAGTTCTCATTTCCTTAATATCCATTTCTCCTCCTGTTTGGGAAATGTGCTCCTGTCTTTCTTTCTGGGAAGCCACCCTGGACTGGATCAGGCCCATGTGCCTGGGGGAGCCCAACCTGCCTCATAGGTATGGACACAGCGACAGGAATATTCCATTCTCTGTGCTTACCAGGGAATCTGTCCAGGGCATAAGCTTCTATCTCCAAATTTAGCCAAGCAAGAAGCAGTCCCGGGATCGGTGTACTAGCAACCGTCAGTGTTTTAGGACAGACAGCTAGCACCATAGTAGGTAGTAAATAAATATTCGATTAAATGAAGATGAACCACAGTCATTATGTGCTGTTACTTAATATTATGTAGTTTATTTGTCGATGGCTTTAATTAATGTTTGCCAACAGCCGGAAACAATTATTAAACCACTCGACAAATAAATCTGTCTGAATGGTTTTGGTATAATCTTGACAATGGTTTTAAGTGTGATTCATTAGTACTAATACAGTTTGTCAATGGTTTAAAATTGGCAATATAATTCAAAAACAAACTACACTGTCCATGATTTTGTGATTATTTGACGCAAATAACTTGCCAATGGATTGTATCATAATCACTTATAATTTGTCAATGGTTTAATCATAAATATAATTTTTGACAATAATTTGTAATAGTTTAAATTGCACATATAAAAGCAAAACCCATGACAAAGTAAATGTCATGTGTTTGTATAAATTTGGACAATCATTTGTCAAATGTTTCATGTAATGTTTCCCAACTCTGGTGCTGTACAGGTGTTTGCTTTCTCTTTTGCTTCTCTTTGGCATAGACTTGAGTAGAGTCTAGTGTTTCACGCGGAGGGGACATTTCTACTGTTCCTGTTGGATCCCCAGTTAGCTTTGAGTTTTTTTTTTTTTTTTGAGACCAGAGCTTCACCGCTCTGGTGCAGGCTGGAGTACAGTGGTGCGATGTTGGGGTAACTGCAAGTTTTGCTCCAGGTTCAAGGCAATTTTCCTGCCTCGCTTCCCAAGTAGTGGGATTACAGGCGCCGCCAACCATGCCCAGCTAATTATTTTTATATTTCTTAGTAGAGATAGGGTTTCAGCCCATGTTTGGCCAGGCCTGATCTCGAACTCCTGGCCTCAAATGATCCACGCACCCCAGCCTCCTAAAGTGGCTGGTTATTAGGCATGAGCTACCGCTCCTGGCCAGCTTTTAAATATTTATTTTAGTCTTCCCACCCTATCTCAGATCTCGTTAAAATATTTCCAGAGTTCTCACTTGTCCTGATAATGGCTTTAGGTTACATTTGTATGAGCAGCCACAATGTATCAGAGGGAATTTATGATTAAATTGTAGTGCCATCATCTCCCTGCAAAAGCCTGATACCAGATTTACTTTTCACAATTCTTAATGTCCAATTCAAGTACTTTTTTTTTTTTTTTTGTTCGTTTTGGTTTTGTGGTTTTTTTTTGAGACTGGAGTCTCTGTTTGGCAGGCTGGAGTGCAGGTGGTTTTTGAGATGGAATCTCACTCCGTTGCCCAGGTTGGAGTGCAGTGGCATGATCTCAGCTAACTGCAGCCTCTGCCTCCCACGTTCAAGCGATTCTTGAGCCGTAGCCTGCCAGGTAGCTAGGACTACAAGCGCCTGCCACCATGCCCAGCTAATTTTTGTGTTTTTAGTAGAGGTGGAATTTCAACATGTTGGCCATGCTGGTCTCGAACTCCTGACCTCAACTCATCCACCTGCCTGGGCTTCCCAAAGTGCTGAGATTATAGGCGTGAGCCACCACGTCTGCCCCTCTATTTGAATTTTTGAAAAAATGTCTTGCCAATGAAAGTCTAAAATAACAACTAGAGATGAGAAGCAGTGAAAGACAAGAATGGCCAGAAAAAAAGTTAGTCCCAGGTCATCACAGCTAATGATTCTGGGCTGTCTCTTAAGGTGGGGGTTGTTCTAAGAGACTTTCCCAAGTAAACACTTTGAGAGACAAATAGAAACGTTAACAGTCAAAGGAATTTATGGGCACCATAATCGAGGGAACACACACAGCCAGAAGGCCAAGTTTCTTCCACCCCCGATGCCTGCCTTGCCAATTTATACTCAACAAAGAAAGCAAGGTTTTAGAGGATATAGTACAACTATTACAACCGCCAAAGACTTTTGAAGGATGGCTGTTATAGCCATTAAACAAGCAAAAAGAAATAACTCTGCCTCCTGGGCTCAAGCCATACTTCCACCTCAGTCTCCCAAGTAGTTGGGCATGCACCACCATGGCCAGCTCATTTTTGTATTTTTTGTGGAGACAGGGTCTCACTATGTTGCCAGACTGGTCTCGAACTCCCAGGCTCAAGTGATCCGCCCACCTGCCTCGGTCTCCCAAAGTGCTGAGATTATAGGCGTGAACCAAAGTGCCCGGCCCAGCAGATCCAAGAGCAGAATGGTCCCAGCTGATGAGCAAACAAATTGAACCAGGATCTCAGAGAACCTGGTACAAACAACAGATGAAGAGAGTAAAAGAAACATTAAAGATATAAAGAGGACTTTGAAAGAGCAAGAACAGAGAAAAAGGAGAAAAGTTTCCTTAAATTAGGAGATTTTTGTCTGCTCTAAGGAAACTGAATCCTTAGACCAAAAGGCCAAAAGACCAAAAAGAAACAAAGATGACCAAACACTCAGGTGTCTAAACACAGTCTTAGCCACAGTTTTAACTTCCTTTACTGCAAGTACGGAGAAAAATTACGTTCCCAAGGAATGAAACAGTATCTACAGAATAAGACGAAAACTAGTATCAAAAATCCTCCCCACTGTAACACTGTGTACTACAAAGAGAAGCAAAGATCTCTATTATTTCTGACAAGATGATTTTGAACTGGCCAAATAATGAACCATCCATTGTTCAACCGTGAGAGAAAAAACTTGAGGCATACGCAAAGACATTCTGAAAACAACTGATTAAGAATCAAAAAGTACTCACAAAGGGAAAACATGATGCAGTGTAAACATACCTGAGACTAAATAATGTTTGCTAATATGGATATAAAATTTTAAGTGAATACTAAGAGGAAAGATAATATGTAATGATCTAGAAACAAAAATACCCAGTTCACTGCAATAAAATATAAGTCAAGGTATGCTCATTATTTTGTTTTGTTCTGAAAGGCAAAGGAAAGTTGTATTTTATACTTTGGAAGTTTTTTAAAAAACTTAGGAAAAAATTAATGGTGGCTGGGCAGAGTGGCTCACGCCTGTAATCGCAGCACTTTGGGAGGTTGAGGTGGGTGGATCACCTGAGGTTAGGAATTTGAGACCACCCTGGCCAACATGGTGAAATTCATCTCTACTAAAAATACAAACATTAGCCAGGCATGGTGGCACGCGCCTGTAATCCCAGCTACTCGGGAGGCTGAGGCAGGAGAATTGCTTGCAACTGGGAGGCGGAGGTTGCAGTGAGTCGAGATAGCGCCACTGCACTCCAGCCTGGGCAACAGAAAGAGACTCTGTCCCAAAAAAAAAAAAAAAAAAAAAAAAAAAAAAAAAAAAAAAAACCTAGAAAAGTTCTTCAAGTTTGGCTTAAAGAAAAAGGAAGGGGTGCCAGGGACATAGAAGCAAATAAAAAGCTCCAAAGCAAGTGTTAGGAACAAAACCAAATACACTAGTTACCATGTTAAATGCAAGTAAATTAAACTATACTCTCCCAAAAATAGGGAAGGTGTGTGGCGGGGGCAGAGGGGGCATAAAACAGAAACAAGAGGCTGAAAATGTACAAAAGGGTGGACAAACACATTTGCAAATGCTAACTAAAAGGATAATCTCAGAAGGTAAGCTTCCTCACATTCCTAAGGAGACATTTCCATAAACTAACAAGATGCAGCAGATTTAAACAACAAAACAGCTGATTTCATGCATACACAGAACTTTGTGCCCAACAGAAAAAAACATTCATAAAAACCTGACCATGGTTTTAGAACACAAAGGAAAATGTATTATTAAATTCCAAAAACTTGTAAATCATACAGACCACATTTACTGAATACCAAGGAATTAAAATTACAAATTAGCAGTAAGAATAACCTAAACTGAAGACACATAAATAACTAGTATCAAGTCTAGGCATACAGATAAGCATTTGATACAGGTGTGGCAAAAACAGAGGAGCAGAGAAAAGGCATGTGAGACATCCTTGAGCTTTTTGAGTGAAAGGTAAGCAAGCAATACTTTAAGGGGCAAACAGGGCACCTCCCAAGCAAAAGGAAGAGCGTGCAGACAGATGCCACAGACACAGAATAAAGCAGAAAACTTGCTCTCCAATGGTTGGAGCACAGGTGACTAAGAAGAAAATAGTGTCAGACGAAACTGATGAAAACGGCAGCAACACAAAAGACTGCTAAGGCGTGTTTTAAAACCTTTGGCTCTCAGTAATGAGTATCAACCAATGAAAGGTCTGAAACCCAACAGCAGGCACAGTGATCACACATGCTATATTATGAAAAATCAAGCAGGCCACAACGTAGAGGAAGGTCTGAAGCTGGAGGAAGATGATGATGAGGGAGACTAGTAAGTAGACCAACAAGTACTGCTGGCCACCAAACACGTCTTTACCTCCCAAGGAGCTACAGAACTCATCATCCTCTAAATTCACGATGATGTCTTTTTTTATCCCCGAGACAGTCTTGCTCTGTCAACCCAGGCTCGAGTGCAGTGGTGTGATCTTGGCTCACTGCAACCTCCGCCTCCTGGGTTCAAGCAATTCTCCTGCCTCAGCCTCCTGAGTAGCTGGGATTACATGAGCCGCCACCGCGCCTGGCTAATTTTTGTATTTTTAGTAGAAACAGGGTATCACCATGTTGGTCAGACTGGTCTAGAACTCCTGACCTCGCAATCCGCATGCCTCGGCCTGCCAAAGTGCTGGGATTACAGGCATGAGCCACCACGCCCAGTCAGACGATGTCGTCTTTCAAGGAACTCAGCAACACAGTCCCTCTTCCGTAGCAAACTCAGCAGTGCCATGGACAAAACTTTCATGACACGCACACGCAAAAGTATGCTTAACCCTATAAAATTCCACCTTTGCTAAGACAAGTATAATTCTTTCCCCCTTAGGTGCCTTCTGTTCTTTGGGAAGAGAAAACTACCACATTAAAAAGAGAGGTGAACATGGGGTGGGTGCGGTGGCTCGCACCTGCAATCCCAGCACTTTGAGAAGCCGAGGCAAGCAGATCATTTGAGGTCAGGAATTCAAGACCAACCTGGCCAACATGGTGAAACCATGTTTCTAATTTTAGTAGAAAATTTTGTGTTTTCTACTAAAAATACAAAAATTAGCCAGGCATAGTGTTGGGTGCCTATAATTCCAACTACTCGGAAGGCTGACACAGGAGAATGGCTTGAACCTGGGAGGCAGAGGTTGCAGGGAGCCGACAGAGAGATCACACCACTGCACTCCAGCCTCGGCAATGAAGTGAGACTCTGTCTCAGAAAAAAAAAAAACAGAGAGAGAGAGAGAGATGTGAAAATAACTGATTTAAATACATTTACATCAGTATCATGGAAGAGAACTGAGTAATAAAAATACATCACAATTACAAAAATCAGCCAGGTATAGTGGCATGCGCCTGTAATCTCAGCTACTCAGGAGGCTGAGACACAAGAATCACTTGAATCCGGAGGCTGAGACTCACTGCACTCCAGTCTGGGCAACCTGGGTGACAGAGCAAGACTGTGTCTCAACCAAAAAAAAAAAAAAAAATCACATTAAAACAAAATAAAATCAATAAACCCTATACTCACCTTTCCAGAAAGTGAACTAACCCTATACTCACCTTTCTAGAAAGTGAACTATCGCCAAGTCTTCTCTCTTCCTCTCTACGACGTTCTCGTTCTTCAATTTCCAACTCCCTTTGGCGTTTTTTCCTTTCCACTTCTTCTAATTTCTTCACCCGCTCCTGATACTCTCGTAGCTCTTCCTCGCGTTTTGCTCGTTCAGCGCGCTCTCTCTCTTCCCGCTCTAGACCATTGATTAGGTTACTAAGTGTGCCTCCCAGCCATATCTTCCCCCTAATGCTAGTTCTACTTTTCTGGTATTAAACAGGTAGCATAATGTACAAGTAAAAGAATTTAAAAATAGTTTGTAATCAGCTACATGACAGAACACAGTCAATAAAACAAGTACTACACCCCTCAACTATAGTTTTGTAATAAGATACTAGAATTCCTGAGCAATCTGGGATTCCAGATACAGCATCATTTAACAGCCATCATCTGGAATGTATTCCTCAATAAATGTTAATACACAGAACATGGTGATAAAAAACAAAAAGTATTAGTTTTTAAAAGAACATCAAATGTGTGGGGAAATGTTGGTAGATGATGTAACAACTTCACATACAGCAAACTGGGTTCTGAGATCCAGTTAATTACAGTGCTAAAAGGCCAATTACCTTGATTCCTGTATTTTCTACATAAGATGACTAAAAACTAGATCTAACACCAACCTTGCATTAGCACCCCTCCAATCCTTTTCAACCTGTGTACCTTTTAGCATTTGTTCTTCTGCCCTTCTTTGCTCCTCCTCTTCTTTTTCTCTATAATATGTTATTCTGCGTTCTTCTTTACGTTGCCTTTTCCGTTCTTCCAATCGATTATGCCTTTCTTCTGCTAATCGCTCTTCAAACTGTTTAAGTTTTTCCTGCAGTCAAGGTAACCCCCAACCCAAAAAGGACACATTTCGTCAAGAGCAACAAACTAGCAGAAAGCTATTAGGTTTACAAAAGACTCTCAAGTGTGTTAGAATCATCGAAAGCAACCTCTCAGAACAAAAACTCTAACTTCCAAATGACCACTAACTTGTTAGCAGGCCGAATTTTAAAAAATTTAAATTGTTGATATTATCTACATCCAGTGGGTTTATCTTTATACAAAATAAATTCAATGATCAAATTAGAACCTAAGCCCGGGACATTTTGATCTAGTTTTTTTATTTCTAACAAAAACAGTACACAAAACTTGTATTAAACTGTGCGTTCAACTTTCACCTTTAGAACAATTTCTTTAGGTGATTGTTTTGCTTACAAAATATTATCCAAAAAGTTCTACTATTATTTGAATGACCGTTATACATAGTAATTCAAGACAGAATATACCAATTTGTTAAGGGAGAACACTTCAGCCAATACTAGAAAGCTCACGAATCAACATTTCCTAAAAATCAGCAAGCTCACCTCATAAACAGACTGCCGTGCAGCTTTGAGTCGCATTACAAATAAATCTCTGTCTTCAAGCATTCGTGACATTCGATTCTTATGTTCAAGAGCCTTTTCACGTTCTAGCTGCATTGTAGTAATCTGCAAGTACAAAATACAGTGAAATTTCAAAGCATCACTTTTTTTTACTCATCAATCCCAAATTACTGACAAATACTCTTGAAAAATTAGAAGCTGCTTCATTGCCCCTTCTATCATGCCATAAAAAAAGCATTAACTACCATCCATGTCAACAGGTCCCCAGAAGACAACTAGGGGCAAGAGGTAGACAAAGTAATCCTGAGGCATTTAGGAGAGACAGTTTTTATTTAGCCCCATGACACCAGGAACTTTATAAAGGAAAAAGTATGATATACGGACACACCTTGGAGGCACTGCAGGTTTGGTTCTAGACCACCACAATAAAGAAAATATTGCAATAAAGCAAGTAACACAGATTTTTTGGTTATCCGATGCATATAAAAGTTTACAATCTATCAAAGTATACAACAGCATGTCTAAAACACCAATGTACAAACTTTAATTTTAAAATACTGTAAGTGGGATGCAGTAGTACGCTGAGGCAAGAGAATCACTTGAGCCCAGCAGTGCAAGATCAGCCTGGACAATATGGTGAGACTCCTGTTCTCAAAGAAAACAAAAAATACTTTATTCCTAAAAAATGCTAGTGATCACCTGAGCCTTCAATGAGTCATCATCTTTTTGCTAGTGGAGTCTTGCCCCAATGTTGACAACTGTTGACTGATCAGAGTGGCGGGTACTAAAGGATGGGGTGACTATGGTAATTTCTTAAAATAGGTAACAATGAAGTTTGCCACACCAATTGCAACCTCTTACAAAAGATTTATCTAGCATGTGGCACTGGTTGACAGTTTTTAACTTAAGAGTAGAATTTCAATTTGATCCAATCCTCTCAAACCCTGTTGCTGCTTTATCAACTACACTTATGGAATATTCTAAATCCTTTGTTGTCAGGTCAACAATGTTCATAGCATTTTCACCAGGAGATTTCAAGAAACCACTTACTTTGCTCATCCATAAGAAGCAACTCCTCACCCAGTTAAGCTTTATCATGAGATTGCAGCAATTCAGTCACATCTTCAGGTTATAGTCTTTCTTTGCTTTTTGTGGGTTTTTTTTTTTTTTTTTGAGACAGGGTCTGTCTCTGTCACCCAAGCACTGGAGTGCAATGGCACCATCTCAGTTCACTGCAACCTCCACATCCTCCCACCTCAGCCTCCCAAGCAGCTAGAACTGCAGGCACACTCCACCACACCTGGCTAATTTTCCTACGTTTTTGTAGAGACAAGTTTTCACCATGTTGCCCAGGCTGGTCTCCAACTCCTGGACTCATGCAATCTGCCTACCTCAGTCTCCCAAACAGCTGGGATTAGAGGTGTGAGCTACCCCACCCAGCGTATACATCTAACTCTACTTCTCTTGCTGTTTTCACCACATCTGCAATTATTTTCTCCACACTACTCATGTACCCCTCCAAGTCATCCATGAGGCTTGGAATCAACTTCTTCCAAACTCTTGCTAATGTTGATATTTTGACCTCCTCCCACAAATCACAAATGGTCTTAAAGGCATCTGGAATGAAGAATTCCTTCCAGCAGGTTTGCAATGTACTTTGCCCAGATCCATCAAAGGAATCACTATGGCAGCTACAGTCTTATGAAATATATTTCTTAATCCTCAAAAGACAAAAGTTATTCCTAGATCTATGGGGTGCAGAATGCATACTGTGTTAACAGGCATGAATACAAACATTAATCTCTTTTATACATCCCCATCAGAGCTGTCATATGATCAGATGCATTGTCAATGAGCAGCAATATTCTGAAAACTCTTTTTTTGAGCAGTAGGTCTCAACAGGGGGCTTAAAATATTTAGCAAACCATGCTATTAACAGATATGCTGTCATTCAGACTTTGTTCTTTCATGCACAGACCACAGAAAGGATAGATGCAGCATAATTCTTACAGACCCTAGGATTTTTGGAATGATGAGAATTGGCCTCAACTTCCAGTTAGCAGCTGCATTAACCCCTAAACAGTGAGCATACCCTTCAATGCTCTGAAGCTCGGCACTGCCTTCTCTCTACATATGAAAGACCTAGTTGGTCATCTTCTTCCAACAGAAGGTCGTTTCATCTACCCTGAAAATCTACTGGCTGGGCACCATGGCTGACCCCTGTAATCCCAACACTTTGGGAGGCTGAGGCAGGCAAACTGCTTGACTTCCAGAGTTTGAGACCAGCCTGGGAAGCCTGGCGAAACCCCATCTCCACTAAAAATACAAAAAAAAAAAAAAAAATGCTGGCATGGTGGTTCACGCCTGTGGTCCCAGCTACTCAGGAGGCTGAAGTTGGCACTTGAGTCCAGGGGGTAGACGTTGTAGGGAGCTGAGGTCGCGCCACTGCACTCCAGCCTGGGTGATACAGCGAGATCCTGTCTCTCAAAACAGCAAGAAAATCTCTTGCTCAGTGTAGCCATCTTCATCAACTATCTCAGCGAAATTTTCTGAATAACTTGCTATAGCTCCTCCATCAGCACTTGCTGCTTCACATTGTACTTTCATGTTATAAAAACAGTTTTCCTTAAACCTTATGAACCAACTTTTGCTAGCTTCATACTTTCCTTCTGCAGCTTCCCTTATTTATTTATATATAGAGATATATATTTATACATTTATTGATACAGAGTCTCCCTCGGTTGCCCAGGCTGGAGTGTAGTGGCGCAATCTCAGCTCACTGAAACCTCTGCCTCCCAGGTTCATGCAATTCTCCTGCCTCAGCCTCCTGAGTGTCTGGGATTACAGGTGTCCGCCACCACGCCCGGCTAATGTTTGTATTTTTAGTTGAGATGGGGTCTTACCATGTTGGCCAGGCTGGTCTCAAACTCCTAACCTCAAGTGATCCGCCCACCTTGACCTCCCAAAGTCCTGAGATTACAGACGTGAGCCACCGGGCCCCGCCTTTTGCAGCTTTCTAACCGCTCTCAGCCTCTGTAGTATTAACTGTTGAGCGTTAGAGCCCTGCTCTGGATTAGGCTTGGCTGAAGGGAATGTTGTGGCTGGTTTGATCCAGACCAATGAAACTTTTTCCATATCAGCAATAAAGGCTGTTTCACTTTCTCACTGTTTATGTGTTCACTGGAGTAGCATTTTTAATGTCAAGAACTTTTCCTTTGGCGGGCGCGGTGGCTCAAGCCTGTAATCCCAGCACTTTGGGAGGCCGAGGCGGGCGGATCACAAGGTCAGGAGATCGAGACCATCCTGGTTAACGCGGTGAAACCCCGTCTCTACTAAAAATACAAAAAACTAGCCGGGCGAGGTGGCGGGCGCCTGTAGTCCCAGCTACTCGGGAGGCTGAGGCAGGAGAATGGCGTAAACCCGGGAGGCGGAGCTTGCAGTGAGCCGAGATCGCGCCACTGCACTCCAGCCTGGGGGACAGAGCAAGACTCCGTCTCAAAAAAAAAAAAAGAACTTTTCCTTTGCATTCACAACTTGATTAGTTCAAGTGGCCTAGCTTTCAACATGCCTTCCTCACTAAGCTTAATCATTTCTAGCATTTGATTTAAAGTGAGAGACAGGCAACTCTTCTATTCACTCGAACACTTAAAAGCCATTGTGGGATTGTTAATTAGCCTAATTTCAATATTATGTCTCAGGAGCCAAGCATATAGTGGCTCACGCCTATAATCCCAGCACTTTGGGAGGCTGAGGCGGGCGGAACACTTGAGGTCAGGAGCTCAAGACCAGCCCAGCCAACATGGTGACCCCGTCTCCACTGAAAACACACTTGGGATGTTGAGGACGGAGAATCACTTGATCCTGGGGGGCAGAGGTTGCAGTGCGCCAAGACTGCACCACTGCACTCCAGCCTGGGCAACAGAATGAAATTGTGTCTCGAATAAATAAATAAATAAATAAATAAATATATATATATATAAAAATATGTCTCAGGGAATAACAGGAAGGCTCAAGGACAGGGAGAGAGAGTCAGGGAATGGCCAGTCAGTAGAACAGTCAGAAGAGACACAACATTTACAGATTAAGTTCGCCGCCTTATATGAGTGTGGTTCGTGGCACCCCAAAATAATTACAACAGTAACATCAAAGATCACTGATCACTATAACAAATATAATAATGAAAAAGTATGAAATACTTTGAGAATTACCAAAATGTGACAGAGACATGAAATGAACACATGCTGTTGGAAAAATGGTGTCAACAGACTTGCTCAATACAAGGTTACTACAAACTTTTAATGTGTAAAAGAAAAAATAAGAATAAAAATAGTAATATGGGGGGGCTGGAGGAGGCATGGTGGCTCACACCCATAATCACAGCACTTTGGGAGGCCCAGCCAGGAGATTCGCTTGAGCCCAGGACTGTGAGACCTGCCTGGGTAACACCACAAAAGCACAATAAAGTGAAGCACAATAAAACGAGGTTTGCCTATATATAATAAAATAAAATAATAAATATGACATGGTAACACCAAACACCATGGTTTAATTTTTAAAGGCATTTTAATCAATGCAAGATGATATATGGCTATTTTCTTTCTGCCCTATGTGAAAAAACGGAAGGCTCCAAATCAACCCAATTTGGTCTGCAGCACTTTTCTAATTAGTTTTTAATATTTACATGTTAAGAGAATTATCACAAAAATTCCAACTTCTCCTGAAAAAATGGGAAGAGCTGGCAATCCTAGGTCCATTAATCTCCAGGTGACAACATTCAGATAAAACCAAGAAAAGGCTGCATTCTATTACATTCTACACCAATGTTTGTCTCCTGCTTATGGTTACTTTTTTAAACCAGATCTGTTCACTCACTTTTACTACATATTTGGTGCCATAAGCATTTGTAAACCCTGCTTTTGTATCAAGTAAATATAATATACACTATAAATTAACAAAACTATGGAATGACCTGTTTAGTCACAAAAGACCACATAGTACACAATTCCATTTATATAAAATGTCCAGAAGCAGCAAATCTAAAGGAGTAGTTTAGCAGTTGCCTAGGGCTGGGGTGGTAGGAAAGAATAGGGATGACTATTGCTAATGGTTTAGAACTTCTTTTTGAGATATGTTTTAAAATTAGATTGTGGAGATGGCTGCACAATTCTGCAAGTAAACTGAAAACTATGAGTTGTATAAACATGCCATACAATTTACCCATTTAAAGTGTACATAAAGCAGTTTTTTGTAAAATGGGCTTTTCAGTTGTCCTTTGTTTTCCAAGTTTCGTTTGTAATCTCTATCGTGAAATGTTCCATCTTTCTACCAATCTGTTCATAGGCAGCCATTAGAGCACCATTTCTAGCAGAAGAATACAAAATAAAGCAATTCTGAATGCTTGGTTCCATCACTGGCAGAGGATTTAATTACAATCTAAAAATATTACAATTAAATTAAAAACTTACTCTTTCTTCCTCTTGTTGCTCCCACAGATCCATGTCTTTAATTCTCTGTTCCTCGTAAGCGCTCTTTATCAAAGGAATTTCTTCCAAACGTTTGGCTCTTTCAAAATAGTCAATCTGAATGACACGATAACACATGTAGTTTTAAAAAATCTCTTAACTTGGTATGTTAAAGGTTTACCAATCCTTTCATTTACCTTCTTTTCTTGATTCTTTAGGCGTTCCTGAAGTTCTTTCTTTTCTTTCTCCAGTTGTTCAACCTGTTTAGCCATGATAAAATCTGGATCCAATTCCTCAAGGTCCTAAAAGGTAATACAAATGCACAATTGTTAACAAGGATAAACAAGCAATGCCTAACATAACTCACTGCTTTCTAGAATAAAATCCTAAATTGCTTTCATTGTTACAATGGATGATAATTTAGGAAATGTAAAAACATCATACAATAGCCTTATTTCCACTTGACCACAAGGAAAAAATTATCCATACATCTTTTTCTCACTCCTCCAACCTACATCTACCCACATTCTACTAAACAGGGTAAGCAAACCTAATCAGAAAACCCAAAATCTGAAATGCTACAAATTTTAAAGCTTTCTGACCACCAACATGGTGCCACAAGTGTAAAATTCCACAACTGACCCAGGTGACAGGTCAGTAAAAATGCATTAAAACTTTGTTTCACGCACAAAATTATGTAAAATAGTGTATAAAATTACTTTCAGGCTACGTGTATAAGATGTCTATGAAACAGGCCTTGTGTGGTGCGTCGCACCTGTAATCCCAGCAATTTGGGAGGCTGAGGCACGTAGATCACTTGAGGTCAGGAGCTGAAGACCAGCCAGGCCAACATGGTGAAACCCCATCTCTACAAAAAACACAAAATCTAGCCAGGCGTGGTGGCACACCCCTATAATCCTGGCTACTTGGGAGGCAGAGGCTAGAGAATTGCTTGAACCTGGGAGGCAGAAGTTGCAGTGAGCCAGTATCATACCACTGTACTCCAACCTGGGCAACAGAGTGAGACTGTCTCCCACATAGAAAAAAAAAAAAAAAAACAAGTCTTTTTTTTTTTTTTTTTGAGCCGGAGTCTCACTCTGTCCCCCTGGCTGGAGTGCAGCGTGGCCGGATCTCAGCTCACTGCAAGCCTCCGCCTCCGGGTCAGGCCATTCTCCTGCTCCAGC